GGGGCGGGGAGACAGGGTAGGGCACGGGAGCTAGTAAAGGGCCGTTTACAAGTTCTGGGCAGAGACTAGCCGGGTAAGCAGCACGCGGGGATCTGCTGGAGGAACACATGGCAGCGAGAAGCCTCTGTGGGGCAAACCAGGAATTGTGACAAACAAAATGCCCTCTTTCCCAACATATGACTAAGGAGTGTGACCTTTCCAGGAAACAAAGAGGCTGATGATTGTAACACATACAATTCTTCTTTTGCACTGGGTTGCTGTTAAAATCAGTGGAATATCCTATATATAAGTCAGCTATGACTTACACAAACTGGCTGTATGACAGTAAGGGCTAAACAGCTTTGAAGCTTTCAGTTCAGGCTGGGTGAGGAGGGCTAGAGAGAGGGAATGACGCACTGCTGAGCACCCGCCATGTGGTAGGCGCAGTGTGAGGGCATCACCCATGATGGCATCCATTAAGTCTCAGCCCCCTGAGGAGATGAAGATTTACAGCTTCATTGCGCTGATGCAGAAGCTAAGACTCAGGGAGATTAAGTAACCTGCTCACAGTCACGCGTCTGTCAGTGACAAGGCCAGCCTTCAAATGGAGCCCTGCCTGCCTCTCTGGATGAAAAGTTCCCCATATGTCTCAAGTGGCTAGATACACGATAACACATCTCTTTGAAGTGTTCTGTGTGGAATCATTGGCCTTGAGCTTTCTATGATAGGACCACGGTGACCTGCTGATGGATTGCTGACGGACCCTATGAAGTACTGCCTGATTCAACTTCCCTCACGCTGGCTTTAATTTAGGAAGCTCCCGATTCCTGAGGATCAGGAAGTCTTCCCATGTCATAATGTGATAATGCAGTTCGGTCCACGTGCCCCCCCGGCCCCGGGTCAGCACCAGTGAAAGGACCCCACATGCCACTTAGAAAGGACGGGCTTCAATACCTCTTCACTGCAATGGCCAGGTTTTCCATTTCCGTGCTTTGAAGTTTGATCTCACGGATGAAGTTCTTTATAACATGTTCATATGGCTGAATCAGTCTGGGTTCCACAAGATTGATATTTTGATACAAGGTACTAACTTGCTCTTTCCTGGAAAAAAAAAATCTAATTGAACCAAGTGAAAAAAGGCAAATTTTTGGAAGACTTTTAGGAAAGAGACATATAAGTAAAGAACCAAGGAAGAAAAATGAAGCAATAACAGAATGACCTACATGGAGGGAAACAGCTGCTGCAGAGATGCTGTTGCATTATTCTATTTTTTTTTTTTACAATGGAACAGCAATTTTATTGTTTTTCCAGCTTTATTGAGGTATGGCTGACAAATAAAAATTACATACATTTAGGTTGTGCAACGTGACTTTTTAAAGGTGTACAATGTGATGATTTCATATTAGAAGATGGAGGCATGTGAGGGCAGTTGAAAAGCATATGAAGAGATAGGGAAGGATTTTTCATTGTCACTGTTGGGTTTTTTTTCTTTAAAAGAAAGTAAATGGATTTATAGGAAAAAAAGGTATGTAACATAAACCCAATTACTTAATTCTATGTTCCACCAATCCTTAATAAGGATATATTTCAGACTTTATGACCATAAGAGTAGGTATTCCTATTATTTTAGTCAGTTAAAAATTACTTCACATAAACTCATATTAATATTTATGTATTTGTATGTGACAACCCTCATACTCGTTACTTAATAACTTTTATTAAAAGACAAATATTTCACAATCATTTCAAAAGAAAAATTGATAAGACTGGGCAGCTGGCTAACAGTGCTCTTGACGCAAGTTTAGGAAGTGATGCACTAAGTGGATCTAGTTTGAACTATGAATGTTGTGCCTGTAGAACTCAACTGCCATCAATGCATGCTCTCACCGTGTGGGATGTAATAACCTCATGACTCTCCCACCACTTCCAAAGCTTTTCTTGATTGATAGGCATATTGTCCTCTTTGGACAGCTTACTCGTATTCCATCAGAGCCCGTGAAATCCGACCTTCCTTCTGTTGACCCTAGTGGACAGCCATGCTTGTTAATGGTTAACACAAGCTGTGACTGTACTGTAACAGGAACAGCACTTTTTTAAAACAAGGAACGTTTATGTCAGTTGAAAGAAGAAATGCCAGGAATTTAAATAACAGGCTCTTATTTGGGCCTAAGATGATAATTTACCATCGTATTGGCATTACAGAGTTCTACCAATTCTCAAGTCTAGAACTGTTTGGGATAGCCAACAATCAAAGGAATGCTAACCACTTTCGCACAGTGCATTACTTAAAAATCATCTCCAGTGCTTGGATAATTCTTACATTCAGTGATCTATTGCTATGATTTTATAGTTACTCCCAGATGGTGCAAAAAGTCTTTCTGGGGCTGGCCGAGTGGCTCAGTTGGTTAAGAGTTGGCTTGGGAGCGTGAGCTCTGAGCAACAGGGCTGCCGGTTCAGTTCCCACATGGGCCAGTGCCGCTGTGCCCTCTACAGCTAAGATTGTGAACAACAGCTCGACCTGGAGCTAGGATGCCGTGAGTGGCAGGCAACGGCATAGGCTGCATGCAGCCCCTGCTGCAGTGGGCTGCTGTAAGCTACCATGAGTGGCCAGCAGCCAGTGTGAGTGGCCGGCAGCCAGTGAGAGCTCCCATGAGCTACTGTGAGCCGCCATGAGCGGCCATCCAATGGCTAGCAACTGACTGCCTCAGCCGGGAAGAGCGCAATGATCATAATACCAATGTGGGCCAGTGAAGTGGTGTCCTCCACAACTAGACTGAAGGACAGCAACTTGTTTGTTCCCCTTCCCTGATTCCCCAACGCTGCTCCCCTCCCCCAATTCCCCAATAAAATATTTTAAAAGTCCTGATTCTCGCCCCTGATATAGACTGCTCTTCTCCAGGTGTTTATCTCGGTCTGGTAAAACTTTGAAGCAGGTCATTGCAGGACCCAGAACATCTGAGAGCATTTCAAAGCCATCTATGGTGCCTAATGACACCAGAGTGACAGCCAGAGGAGACCACTCAGAAATCCTTAGCACAAAACCCACACTCATCCACTGGATCACAACCCTGGGCTCCTGCCCTGTTACTCTGTTGAAGGCAGCCTGTTCCAATGCTGTGAGGGCACAAGAAAGACTGCAATAATCTCACTCCTCAATAATTAACAGGCTGTGCATACAACCGTCTCCCAACTGGGAGAGATAACACAGCTAAACACAATAAGATTTATGATTATAATAAAAATAGTTCTATTTAGAGAGTGCTCACTGTGCACTAGGTATTATGCTAAGCAACGTATTTGCACAATATCTTGAATACTTACAACAACCGTATAAAGTACTTTCACAAACCCATTTTGCAGATCAGACAGAGCTAAGTGCTTGTTATGGGCTGAATCATATCCTCCCAAAATTCATATGCTGAAGTCCTAACCCCAGTATCTCAGAATGTGACTGTATTTAGAGAGGTCATTAGAAAGGGCCCTGATCCAATATGACTAGTGTCCTTATAAGAAGAGGAAATTCAAACACAGACATGCACAGAAGAAAAACCATGTGAAGACACAAGGAAAAGGCAGCCATCTACAAGCCTAGGAGAGAGGCCTCAGGAGAAACCAACCCAACCAAAACCTTGATCTCAAATTTTAAGCCTCTAGAATTGTGAGAAAATAAATTTCTGTTGTTTAAGCCACCCAGTCTGGTATTTATTACCAGAAATACCTAGGCAACCATAGCAAACAATGAAAGTGCCCAAGGTTACATAGTGATTGGGTGACAGAGTTGGGATCCAAACTCAGTCTGATGCTGGAGACCACATGATCAACCATTACATTATATTGCTTCACAGTTGTGTTAAATATCTAAACCGTGGCAGAAGAAATGGGATTAAAAATAAATCCGTAGAACTATGAAGCATTGCAAAATGTGAGGTATATATTAACCCAGAAGCTTATTTAAGCATGGCACCAAGGTGTGTCCATGTAGCTATAAAAACCCCAGGTTTGCTCTTATAAGAGCAAACTATTCAATCTGTGCATAGGCCAATTGTGATTCAAAAGAGCTGCTCAAGTGAAATATTACGAACACACTTGCAGCAGCAAGTCACTTTATTTGATGATGTAAGGCACACAGAACTACCATCATCTCTCCCCTCTGAGCTGAGTACAAATACTAGTTGTAATAGTGAGCCGTATTTATTAAAGAGCAGTAAAATAAAATCTCTGCTCTTAGAGTGTCCCATGTAATTTCGTTCACAACAGGGTCATTAACTTCTTTGCCTTTTGTCATTTACTAACCACCAGCAGGATACAAAGCATAAAAACCTTCTCATTGACAGGAACCTGCCTGCCATGAATGACCACGAAGGGTACTGCCCTTGAGAGCTCTTGTTTACTGGCCAACTGCCCAGCAATAAAATGTTCAGAAGTAGATATCCAGTTGATTCCCTGATTTCCTGCAAATTTCTAAAATAAGAAAGAAACATAATGATTCTAACTTCTCTTGGTTCCTTTGCTGGTCCTGGCATTATGCAGAATGTCAGAAATAGTTTACAGTGATGTTTCCAAACAGATTAACTATAGACAATGTGCACCACTAGCAGATAATATGTACATGCTGTGCCAGAGACTACCTGGATACTCATCTGTCTTGCTTCTTATTACAGGGCACATGGGGAAAATTGACTTCCCAGAACTCCCAGCAGGTAGGCTGGAGCCATGTGACTAGTTTTGGCCAATGGAATGAGAGCAGAAAGGGTGCATTTGCCACTTCCATGATTGGTCCTTAAAATCCTTTGTAAGAGCCTCAGCTCATATTCATTCTCTTTCATTCATTCATTTTCTCTCCCTCTCCCTCTCTCCCCATCTTTCCTTTGTCTCTCTCTCTCCTCTCCTTCTCTGCCTCCCTTTCTCTCTTCCTCAACTTCAGAGCTGAAGTAAAGAGCTCCAGTATGGGAAAGCCAAGAGCTGGCATGTGCTTGGGTGCCTGACTCACCACACTGAGGGAAACTGCTGGGGAGGGCTGCCTGGCCACATCCATCTGCCCGATACATGAGAAGAAAATAGTTTGTACTTTGTAAAGCCACTGAGGCTTGGAAGTTCTGTTACAGTCAGCTTGAGCTTAGAGAGTCGGCATTTGTTTTTTTATCATCCTCTTCCAGATTAAATTACTTCCTTGAGAGCTTCATAAGTAATGAGATTTCTCTGACCAGGTTAAGTCTTTCCCATCCCTACCCACTCTAGGAAACAAAAGGCTATTCTGAAACATTCATATACTAAAGCAGACATTTATTAAGCACCTTACATATATAGTCCTGGCAGTGATTTGGTATTTACATGTATTAATTACTTAATCCTCATGACAACCCTATGAAGAAGTTGTCACTAGATCCTGTTTACCATGGAGGAAACTGTGGCAGAGAGGGATAAGTATCATCAGGTAGCAGAGCCAGGATGCCAGCTCAGCCCACCCGGCTCCGGAGCCCAGCTCTCCAGGCAAGAACTAGCTCTTCAGGTCAAAAGTAAGTGCTTAGCTGGTTTTTAGGTGTGACAAGTGCACGGCTCCATTTAAGAAAGTTTGATGTGAGCCGGCTGAGTGGCTCAGTTGGGTAAGAGCTTGCTCAAGAGTGCGAGCTCTCATCAACAGGGTCGCCGGCTCGATTCCCAAATGGGACAGTGAGCTGCGCCTGAGCTGAGCTGCCACTGAGCTGCTAACAGGTGACAGGATGGCTCAGCTGGTGATAACACGTGCTCCTAACGACAAAGTTGCCTGTTCAAGATGGTGGGCTATGCCCACCCACAACTAAGACTGAACTCGGCACCTTAAGCTGAGCTGCCACCCAGATGGCTCAGTGGATAGAGCGCGCACTCTTAACAATGAGGGTGCTGGTTCAACTCTCGCATGAGATGGTTACTACGCCCACCTGCAACTAATTGAACACAGCACCTTGAGTTGAGCAGCGCGACTGGACTTGGAGCTGAGCTTACTGTGCCCTCCACAACTAAGATTGAAGGACAGACAACTTGTCTGTTCCCCTTCCCCAATTCCCCAACATTGTTCCCCTCCCCCAATTCCCTAATAAAATCTTTAAAAAAAAAAAGTTTGA